CGTCTGCCTCTCTGCGGTTCTTTTGGGGGGAAAACTTTGTGCTTTCTCGCAAATCAGAATCGTTGTGTGAAGCTTTCTCGCCCAGGGCGACGGTGAGCTGTGAGGTTCAGCCGCTAATTTTGGGTCCACGTGCTTGATTTTACTTAATTTCTCCTCGGAAGGAAGGCCTGTGAAACCCTCTCATGGATTTACATCGCGGGTTTTAAAATGCTGTGGGTGGTGGGGGTTTTTTTAGCACTTGGAAAACGTTCACCTGTAGAGCACTTCTAAAATAAATGCTAATGTGATTGTGTCTCTCTAGTTATAGTGTGAAGAAAGGTATTTATGGTGCTTGCCTACCCACCCTATGAACAAACAGGTCAGTACCTAAAGTAAGTGGGTTTTATGTTTCAGGTAACTTGGTAAAAGGAATTTCAACATATAATATACACTGTCATTTATACAAATGTGTGTTTAACCTAGTTAAAACGTTGGTGGCATGAAGAAGTTTAGTCCATTTTCCTTTGCAGGCAGGAATTCCTTTGGCTTGGAGTGAGATGTAGAAAGTGATCCTTCCACTATGCTCTTGTGTGGCCCAGTGTACTTAACTGGGTGTGGAAAATATGTATTTATGCTGTTTCTTGCTTCAGGATGATGTTGTCTTAATAATGGAATGCAACTGCTTTTTGATACTTCATTAAAGTCTTTTATTTGGCTTTTTGCCAACACATGTGCAGTGTTAGCAAGAGTTTCTTACGTTACAGCTCTGTTTAAACTGTGGAGTGAACAAGCTCCTGTCTACAGATTTCAATGAATGGATAAGTATGACTGTACTGCCTGGTATGTGTGTGAGAGGAGAGTAGCTAGAAGTAAATACAGCCCTGTGCTTCTGATCCGGTTACGTGAAACCTTGCAGCGTCTTGCACAGTTCAGATAGCAAAGATGTCAACTGTGTGATGACTTCAAGTGGGCGTGGAGTGTAAGGTGTCCTTCTGACACAGAGGCTGTTGCTTAAATCAGGATTTACAGATTATTGATTAAATTGTTTTGATTTCTAACGAGGTAAGATTGGAGGAATGATGTATGAGAAATATCTTAAGAGATGCTCCCTTACCTGATATGCTCCCTGTCAAAAAAGAGTTTCAAAAAGAGAAATCATCTCTGATGAAAACAAATCCCAGTACCAGGGAAGCATATGAGAAACTCAACAAATGAAGATTTCAATTTCGCCTTTACAAACAGATGCAGCAGAAAATATTTCAGCAGTCATCATGGGTGTTCTTAAGTGTTAACAGTGTAATAGTGGTTATTGCTTTGCTTTTTAGAAATGCTTTAGTTTTTCAAAAAGTCATTTGCCCTGTTTTTTTGGTGACTTATTTTTTCCAGCGCTGAACATCAGTGCTTTGATCCTGGAGAAGAGAAGGCCGAGAGGGGATCTTATCAATCCTTATAAATATCTAAAGGGCAGGTGTCAAGAGGATGGGGCCAGGCTCTTTTCAGTGGTGCCCAGTGACAGGACAAGAGGCAACGGGCATAAACTGGAGCACAGGAAGTTCCACCTGAACATGAGGAAAAACTTCTTTACCCTGAGGGTGACAGAGCACTGGAACAGGCTGCCCTGGGAGGTTGTGGAGTCTCCTTCCCTGGAGATACTCAAAACCTGCCTGGACATGTTCCTGTGCAGCCTGCTTTAGGAGAACCTGCTTTAGCAGTGGGGTTGGACTAGATCCTCTCCAGAAGTCCCTTCCAACCCCTGCCATTCTGTGATTCTGTGATCCAGGAGCGACTGGTATATATTGGGTTGCAAGCAGATAGTTCTCTTTCAGTCACTTTACAATTATAAATAACTCTGTGTACAGTTGAAAGCTGAAGAAAGAGATTTTTTTCTCCCCCTATAGACAAGTATTTTATCCAGATGTATCATAAATGTGTCATTAAAATCTGCTGTCTCTTTTCAAAAATTAATTCATAATAAATGTGTCTAATTACTATGCCCTGACATCACCAGCAGGTTACAGTGAGAATTCATCTTGGGTGTAAACATATTTTCTAATAGTAAAAATAAGATTTCATTCTGTCGTTCATGCATTGTGTATCTGATGTTTGGATGCCTCAGGATAGTAAAGCAATGGACAGCAGTAAATAAATCATCAACGTGGCTGATAATTTTCTCTTAAAACTGGCTGATGATTAAGATAATAAAGCTGTTACCAAGTCAAGAAAATAATGTATTGGAAGAGTAGATTGGCAGTAAACAAGGAGCCTGTGTAGATTTAGAAAAGGGGATTAATGAGTGTAAAAAATGACATTCTGGAAGTGAGATATGTCAGTCTGAAATGAAGTTTCCAAAAGCCAATCTGAGTTAGATTTTGCAACAGAAATCAGAAAGCAAAGACGGAAAGCAGCAGCTGTGGGCAAAGCTCAGAGTGAAGCTAGTCCCAGAACAAAACAAATAACTTGCTTCTCTTTTGAATGTGAACATAGATGTTGGACCGTCGGTACACAGGCTGAAGAACCCATGGGGTTTAGAATATGGATAATGTGTGAAGAAGCGTTTGTTCTGCCTTCTGCCTCAGCCCTCTGGCTCTGGTTGGAGCTAAGGAGAAGACCATGTGTTGCAGGTACAACGGGGCTGGCCCAGTGTGCTGTGGCCGTGGACTGTAGACCACTTTTTAGCTCCTGTACTTGGCACAGATTGGCCTTGGTAATTGCTGAAACAGCAGGGCAGCCCTCAACAGCTGTTGCTATGCTCCACCATCAGCATGGAAGAATTAGGAGGTGGGAGTCAGGATAGATCATGCCAGACTAACTTGATATTTCTGTGCCAAAATAACTGGTTTCTGAAAATGAGAAAGGCAAGAAAGTTCTCATTTTTGTGTTCGTCTGACACTTCTAAGCTTGCCATCTCCAACCAGCCATGTCTTTCCTCCTCAACCCCTGTGGAGCATAAGGATTTTTGATATGGGGATTGTCAGTACTTCGAGGTACTGAAAGGCCTTTTGGGGTGAAGAGCTGTCTGGCCAGGGACATGCGAAAATAAAGGATTAACAGAAATTATGGGAAACCTAAAACACATTTGAATTCTAGAAAACCTTTCTAGAGGATATGAACATATAAACAGCCTTATCATTGGTATGCATGTTCCATGTCACCTTTGGGTTTGTCTAGCATAACTATATGTTAGATTTACTTAGATTTAGTATCTTTTCATTGCAAGATCTAAGAGTTAAACTGTATGTTTTATATTTTATCTGTAGTGCAGAGTGATAATAATAGGCTCCGCATTAGTATGCATGGACACATGCACACAAACATACTTCATGAACGCATCAACAGTTAGAAGAAAGATGCCTACTCCAATGTTCTTAAAACCTATTTGTTTCTTGCTAAAGCAGCCTGTATCTATTATAGGCACGGACCTTGCATCTCTGGCAAAAACATCCAACTGTACTTGGCAGCCGCCAGCGTTGTGTCTACGTGGTTGTGGTTGTGTCTCTGTTGTAGGCTACGTGGGATCGTTGAGTGTGTGCTAGCCCCAGCCTGCCCATTGCTCTCATTTCCTGAGGCAATGAGAGGTGGTGAGCATCACCTACATGTAGGAACTCTGGGAAATGAGCAGACTGGCACCTGATGAAATCTGGCATCATTAGCATGACAATATAGACACACCCCTTCTAGACAAGGAAAAGTTAGTGGTAGCAAAACACCAGGCAGTTCTTGAGGAGAACACAGAATTTTCATGTAGTGTCATCTAGTTGACGAAGTGAGATTTTGTGAGGAGTCTCAAGTGATTCAGGGCTTCAGGCCTTAAGACAGAATCACTGAATCCTTTCACATTCCTTTTAAGTGTTTCCCTTTTTGTTGTTTCAGGATGCTCACCAGAACCCCAAGTGTTGTTGCCCAAGTGTTCCTTCTTCTAAGCATAGTTCTTGTCATTGCTATTGCAGTGATTCAGATAAATCAGCAACAGATCCTCTCCCCAGGGCTCAAGGTAAGTCTTAGAATACCTAAGGAAGGAGAACAATGCTTTGAACCGATATTTAATAATGTTCCTTTCTAAAGTAATTTTTATGGGGTGATTCAAATGAGCTTACAGACGTAAATTAATGTTTAATCACATCTTCATCATGGGAAAGCTGAAGCTGAAAGAGAGAATTGGTCAAGATCATAGAGTCGGTGGCAAAGCAGGAATAGTGTTCCTTGATTCCCTGTCTGTGATGCCTGTCGCGCAATGTCTTCTTCAAGACTGAAAGGCCAAACAAGGAGAATATGCCACTGCTTTTTTTTATTTTTGTCAGAGATTGGAAGTAACTTTAAAATAATTTTGAAGTGGGAAGTACCTGAAGTTTAAATTCTGCCCCCAAGCACAGCTAGGAAGTTTATGCTGAAATATTTGCAAACTGCTCCTGTGTATCAAAAGCATTTGGGTTTTAAGTGTGCACTTTATGATTTACCACATGTTGGGACTTGCTGGATATGAACAAAAGCAAAGTAGCTTCATGAGGAGGGGAAGAGCAAACTGGAAAAGACAAACAGAAGTACTCTGGGATTCAGGCTTTGCCTTATGCTGCTGGAGTATGCGTGCAGATTCTTCAATGAGAGATGGACACAACTGAGGACAAAGCTGTAGAAATTAGCCTTCTGGAGAAGCTGTGCAGTCTGGCATTTTGAATTCTCTGTTTTTTCCTGTGATAGTGACAAGCATATGAACCTTGTCAGATCCTTCTTTGAAGTCCTTTCTACCTTTCCCTCTGTGGATGTATTTAACTGAATAGTTCACATACTGAGAGCAATAGGCTAATGTCTCATGGGATTACACTTCATGGAATTATAAACACCTTTGGCTTCATCTGAATCATTTGGTGGTGTATGAGTCAGACAATGGGATAAAACTGTATTCTGATACCAGTTTTATGTGTTGGTGTGGTGTGGCAGGGAGTGTGTGCTGGGATTTTGCATGGGGACAGTGTGCCTCAAGTTTATTCCTTGTTGTGCCCCAGATCTCTGCTTGCAGCAGCCTTACATCCTGCCAGTTTTCATGCAAGGCTCACATGGAGGCCAAAGCCGCTATCTTTTTAAAAGACAGCCTACGCAGCACTTTGTCATTAATTCAGTTTCACATTCAGAATGATAGAATTGTCTACCTTACTCTTTGAGCAAACATCAGACCCCCCTTGGCCACCTGGAGCTGGTTTAGGTGGGGAGGCCTGCCTCCTGAATTGCAGTGGCTTCATGGCTGGTTCTGGAGGAAGACGGGCGGTTCCTCTGCTAGGTGCCTTGGCTCTGGATTTCTTTTTGGGCTGTAAGCCTGCCGATGCAGAAAATCCCTGTTGATATGGAGGACCCTGTGTTTGATTCCTGAGACACCAAGTAGTCCTTTTAACTTTATTAATTATTTATAAAATAAAAAAATTAACACTCGCAAGAAGTGACTCTTCAGGAGCAGAGGGAGGACCTTGGTATGCCAGTGTGAAACACTTTGGTACTTAGTTGATATGGTGGAGCCTGGAAATGGCAGTGTCCTGAAGTTAGCAGTTGATTAAAGTGAAATATGCCAATAACATGATAAAAACAGACTTATGCTTTGTAAATGGCCTTGTTCTTCTGGCTCTTTTCCCTGAAAACAGCTACTGAAGGATAACTAGAGTTTGTGTTATCTGTGACATGATAGCTCTTTCCCAGGATGCATGTTGAGAGTGTCCAGGTCCATTCCATTGTGGCACAAGAGATAAATTATCTGCTACGCCACTGACGTTTTAAAGTGTTGTTGCAAAATTAAATGTTCTGGTTCCTTGGTGGTTGGGTTATGTGAAGATTCAGCCAGTGATTTGTGAAGGAAGGACCTGCCTGTGTGCATGAGGCTGAGGCAGTGAAAGAACTCATGACTCACTGGCACACCCTGTGAAGTCAGAAGAGTGATGAGGAAAGCACAGACATCCTTAGTGACACAGTCCGTGAAGAAGTCCAGAATCGTAAATTATGCTAGCCTTTGTACCAGTCAAAAAACCTTCTGTTTGTCTACTGATGTTTTGTGAGTCCTAAAGAAAGAAATCCCACCCTTCATTATTGTGTTTCTTTAATTTGCGTCTCCAGGTGCTACAGTTTTCTACACCTAAATTTTGCGTGTCTCTTTTGGCGCTTAGAAGTGTTTTTCCATGTTTGTGCATGTTGTACTTGATTAAAAGTGGTTCAAACCTATGTAGCTGAACTGAAGTGTGCTTCTAGCATGGATCCACTTTTATGGCCTCCATCTTCCCTGGTTTAGCTTGTTAGCTGCTTCTGGCAATTTTCCGAAGTGATTGGAAGGCAGATGAGCCATCATAACTGTGCCTGCTTTAAGGGTTTGTGCATCTGTACATCCTCCTATGGGAATTGGTATTGATGTGAAAAGGTGATTAATCTTGGGGCTTATTCTTGCTTCCCTGTTGGGATTACTGCTCTTCAGGATGTACTTGCAAAGCCCTTCATATGAATATCCCTTATCTATATGGGCCACAACAAATTGGTTGGGTGAACAGCACAAAACTGCCTCTGAAACAGTAGAGGTAGTTGTCACCCACACAGGTGAGCAGGGGGTACCCTCTTACAAGGAAAGACAAACAGTTGACAGGGGAGGGGGTAGTCGTCACTTTAGTCAGCCCAGTTGCAGCCAAAAAAAATGATGTATGGGTACACCTTTAGAGACACAAGGTCTGGTTTATTGTTACCTTTCTTTTTATTTAGCTTCTGGTAACTGTGTACAGAATTCATAGTATTCTGCCAGACCTAAGAAGCAAAGCGGTACATTTACTTCATGCTGTAGCCAACATGGTCACCTCTGTGTTGGAGGTACATGGGGCATCAGTAAAACCAAAAATAAGTATTTTCCTTTAAGTCACTTCACCCTTTCTCCCTCCCTCCCTTTCTCCCTCCCTTGTGCCCTAAAGCTTTTCTGGGTTAATGTTGTCTCTCTGTCTTGCTGTGACTAACCTAGTCCATTGACTAGACAGTGCACTTCCTTGGTATTAGGGAATCATCAGGCCTTTATCTCTCTACACTGGTGTTTGAGTAGAGATGACGGAAATCCTCAGTGGGAAAGCTGAAGTAGAAGGGAAAGGAGGGAGAAAAAGTTGTGCTGTTCTTCAATAGCTGCTAGCCCAGGATAAGAGTTTGCCTGCGCTTTCAGTCCCACGCAGTGCATTTCAAAGCAGGAAGGCATTGCTTTTCCTTAAAGGGCAGCCAAAGGTGATCTGACGTGCAACTCGGACAGGAATGTAACGTCACTGCAGAATTTTTATTCAACCAGTTTGTCTTAGGCAGCAGGCTGAGACAAGGCGTGTAGAATTCTTTCACCCTCTTAAAATGCCACATCCTCTGTCATTTCTGTTTTTTTAATTCAGGATTAATCTTAGTCCAAACACCTGGCACAACTTCTTGCTGATTGCCACTTCGTGAGGCTGCATGAGCCAGTTCACACAGAGTGAACTCACACCAGTTCTGAGGAGCTTCAAGGTTCACCCTGAAATGGGCCCAAGAGTCCTTCTCAAAAAAGAGCATCTCTTTTAAAGGAAACAAGAGGCTGGATAGGAAAAACAGGAGGAGGAGGAAGAAAATAAAATTGTCAGTCACACGGTGGTTCAAATAAGTGTGCCACTACTCTTTGGGCTGAAAATCTGTTACTTTCAGGAAGGAGGCTGGGAAATGTGGAGGAGGATGGAAGTAGTTCAAAAAGCCACACAGTTAGCTGAGGTAAAAATACCTCCATTATCTTCCAGCTCTACTTGCGCGTGATAGTTAGCTCTGAAAGTAGCTAAGTTAAAAGCTTATGGCACTTTGAGCTGACTGAGACTAGATTTAATTAATAGCCCTTGAGCAGATTGACCGTTAACGGTATTAAGTGTCTCCAAAATGCTCACCTCTCTTTGAGCGGGGAATGCGCTCAAAGAATTTTTGCTGAAGTAGTTACTTGAACGGAACCTGACGGTGCACTGGTTTGATAGTATCTGTGGAGTCTTTCACCTTTTAGTTGATCAGGGTGAATATCGTCTGGATAAATATGAATGAAATTTTAATTTCATTATCTAACAGTCCTCTAGGACTAGACTAGTATTGCTGGTAGCTCTTTGGGGGCTAGGAGTTTCTAGGATTACAGTGGAAGCTGGGAATTAATGAGGTGTGGAAGCTGAATGTTTTGCCAGGTGAAGCAGTGATCTTTCTTGGTCAGACTTGAAGCTCCCCAGGGAGGCAGTAGGATGAAATTTATTGCCCTGTTGCAGGTGCTGTTACTGCTTTGCTGCCAGATGGAAGCTTTCATTTTTCAGTATGGTCGGGCTCCTGGGCATCTGTCTTTTTTAAAAGAAAAAAAGTTGACAGAGAAATGAACCCTACACTGTGTGATTCCTACCAATTAGATGACTTTGGAAGAGGAGGGGAGCTAAATGTACTTTCAGAGATCATAAAGATGATAAGCAAAATTGCAGTTTTCTTCTCTTCACACAGTTAGCCTTCCCAGATGCTCCAGTTTTCTGCTGCCATAAAAGATAGAAAAGGGGGAAAGATGGGTCTGGCGAGCAGTGGAACAGCATGGAGAAACCTGTGCTTTAATCCCACAGAGAGTCCAAGTGACCTGGGGCAAGTCACTTAAGTATTTCTCATTTATTTCATAAATAAACATGGGGTAATACTGATAAAACCTCTTTGTTGTCTCACACTCTGGCACAGCCTGTTTTCCGTGTTTTCAAACTCTTAGGTGGACTGCCTAAACCACTCAAAGGGAGAGGTTTATGGGGCAATTGGAAAAGAACCAGACTTGTTACATTGTTCTCACTGTGGACTATTATGTACTTTACCTCTCTGCTCATAGCTTTATGGATCCATTGTGCATCCTTGAATCTAAAGCCTGTGCTTAGGTATCAAACCCTTCAGTGTCCAGGGAGTGTAGCTGGAATAATGGGAAATGAACTTGCTGCAAAATCAGGTCCTAACACAGTGTCCTGATCCTGAAATGAGATGAGCATTCTCCATCCCCACTGAGTTCATTATTGAAGATACATAGTACGTTCTTTGTTTTGCAGCCAGATTTCATTCTGTGCTTGGCTGTTGGATTCATGCCCAAGCGCCTAACACAAGAATTAATCTCTCTTGCAAATGTACTATGCATACATTTTCTAAAGTGTTTGACAGTGCAAAGAAGTACAGCTGCATGTGGGCCTTTAAGCTGTCACTGTTTGTTTCTTGATGTAATGTATTATTTTTTTCTCCCCAGTATGGAATAGTCCTTGATGCTGGATCCTCTCGGACTACAGTCTACGTCTATGAATGGCCAGCAGAAAAAGAAAATGACACAGGAGTAGTAAGCCAAACCTTCAAGTGTAATGTGAAAGGTGAGCTCCAATGGAAGTTCCTTATTTCTTTCTAGCCTCCAAGAAGAGGTTATCTGTAAGCTTAAACTGTTTTTTTCCACTGTGTTCCCTTTTCAGTGCTGGGGAGCAAGAACTGTTGAGACTATGTGTGTATCTGTCAGCATCAGTCCTTCTCCTACCGATACAGCAGGGTACTCTAATCTGCAACAAAGAGAGGAAGTTGTAGCTAAATTTTGTTTATTCCATTGCAGTGCATGATTGCTGCAGACAGAATTTGATCTACAGAGAATCAGGCCATAACATAAATGTTTAGTCCTTGTGCCCTGAAATAATTTTTTTTAAAAGGAAAGTATAAAGTATATTTTAAAATAGCTTGGAATAAAAAGTCTTTGAGAAGAATGGGGATCTAGCCCTTGTTAGATGTTAGCCATTCATTTTGATGGAGGCAAAAATGGGTGTCACCTGTGCTACAGGAGTTTCACAGAACCACAGAATGGCAGGGGTTGGATGGGACCTCTGGAGATCATGTAGTTCAACCCCCCTCCCAGAGCAGGATCACCTAGAGCAGGTTGCACGGGATCGCATCCAGGCAGGCTTTGAATGTCTCTGGAGACAGATCGCAACCTCCCTGGGCAGCCTGTTCCAGTGCTCTGTCACCTTCAGAGTAAAGAAGTTCCTCCTCATGTTGAGGCGGAACTTCCTGTGCTCCAGTTTGTGCCCATTACCTCTTGTCCTGTCACTGGGCACCACTGAAAAAAGACTGGCCCCATCCTCCTGACACCTACCATTTAAGTATTTATAAGCATTGTGATAAGATCCCCTCTCAGTCTGCTCTTCTTCAGGCTAAAAAGCCCCAAGTCCCTCAGCCTCCCTTCATCAGAGAGAAGTTCTGTCCGCCTAATCATCTTTGCAGCCTTCTGCTGTACCTTCTCCGGTAGCTCCCTGTCCTTCTTGAACTGGGGAGCCCAGAACTGGACACAGTAGTCCAGATGAGACCTCACCAGGGCAGAGTAGAGGGGGAGGAGAACCTCCCTTGTCCTGCTGGCCACATTCTTCTTGGTATACCCCAGGATACCATTGGCTAAAATCAAAACCCTTTCTATGTAATGCAGTTGATCTGTCCTGGTCAGGTGCTAAGCACTGTCAAAGCAGGCAGTTGTCCAGGACAAAATGGTCACTGCCTTGTGACCTGCTCTATCTGAACACTGGGCAATGGAGGTTGCTGCCAGCAAGGGATTGTGAGGCAACAGCAGCTGCTGAGGATGTAGAACAGCAGTTGCTGCTCTGTTTTCCTCTGGTAACAGCTTTCCTTCCAGCTTCAGGCCTGCCTGTGCTAGATGTAAGGCTTTTAGAAAGTCTTATTCCAAACCAGGGCTGTGAACATCCAACGATGACATGGTAATGTTTAAGTTATTACTCTGGAAAAGGAAGTGGTGGAATGTGGAGTCTGTGAAGTCTTACATATTTTTTCTTCTGTTTTTATCAATGCAAAGTGGCTGAACATAAATGGTTTCTCATTTTAACTCTGTAAGAGCTACCTTTTGCATAGTTTGGGATCAGGTTGTGAGAGAGATGGCTGTTACAGGAGAACTAGATGGACTAGATGGAGTTCTGGCAAGTTGTTCTCTGTGGGGTAATGCCTGGATTTCTTCCTGTACAACTTCCTCAGCTAGGGAATTTTAGTAAGGAATGTTTTCATTCACACCGAAGTTGAGCCTGAACAAGTTGAGGTCCTGCTAGTCCTTGGAGTGTTGAGCAAGGGAGGAAAGACTTGGATGTTAATTGTTCAAATAGCTATGTCTTTTACAGCATGGTGTAACTGTCATTCCGTTATTTGAAGGCTTTGGAAATTTGGAAAGCTGTGAAATACACCAGCCTAGGCTTGGACCTCTATGACTTCAAGAGCCATCTGTGTGCATCTTGAAATTTCACCAGCAATTCGTTGCAGAAGCTTCTTTGTTTAATTTTCAGTTGAGAGCAGGGAGCTGTAGAGGTGCCATAGTGTCCACGACAGTTGTGGCAAACCGGATTAAGAAATCTGTGTTTTAGTTTGAGAAAAGAGGTTTTTTCTATGCTTTAGCAGATCAGAGAAATTTTACATCCGTTAGACATGCTATTTTCTAGGGCATCTGCCAAGAGTAAACCTATTTTCCTCATGAATATAGTACTGCTGTCATTGTGTTGGTATGTGGTTATAATGTATATCTTACTTTAGGTATGGTACTACAGGTGTATAAGTATTCACACAGAAATACAGGTGAGCAGTTAGCAAGTAGCTGTATTCTCTGTCTCACACAGCTGAGAAATCACTACATTGTTTATTCCTTAAGCACTCCGTGTTTTCAACCATCCTATTTTTGTTTGCAGTCACGGGAGGGAAGGGGGAAATCTCATTCTCTTAACACCTGTTTGCTAATTTGTAGTTGGCAAAGCAGAAGAAAATCAATCTACTTGTTCTCTTTTAGGCCCTGGTATATCCAGCTATGAGAGTAACCCTGGAGCTCTTGCCAAACCCTTTGATGACTGTTTGAATAAAGTCAAGGAGAGAATACCAGTTCATCTGCATAAAAACACTTCTGTTTATCTGGGGGCTACAGCTGGCATGAGACTGCTGAGGTATGGCAGAAACTTGAACTCCTCTGTATGCGTATACTAGCATAGCAGTCTGTGAAAACAGAATGTGAGAAATGTACTGGACGTGTTTTTATCCATTGGAAATTGGCCATCTCAAAAGGAAATGGAGCCCAGCCAATTTAATTTAATTAACTTTTTTGATAAGGAAAGCGGGGCTGTATAAAAATCCTCTGTTGTGCTATGTTGAAAAGAAATGCTCGCTTTATTCTGGAGAAGGCAAGAGTTTAATTTTCTCTTCTATATCTGTCTTAAAATTCAGTGTTATATAAACAGATAATGTTTGTGAGTATCCGTGGGCAGCAAAGGCAGATTAAAGCTAGACACTGCAGAGTTTTCTGAGTGTGAATGTGGTGTAATGTGGCTTTTGGGGTCTGTCTGTGGCTTTGGCCCTGGCACAAACTGGCCCTTTATGTTTGTTCTGTGGCTAAACAGAGTGGGAAGAAAGGCTCCAGGACTTTTCAACCAGCAGTTGTCATATAAGTGCTCAGTTCACTAAAAAGACAAACATCTATAAGAAACAAAACACCGATGAACTTGTACGATAAAGAGTGAAGTTTGTACACAGTGAGGAGTTGCTTGCTGAAATGATGCTGGATACTTGACTGTTCCCTATCAGAAGCTTCCCGTTTAGGGAAACAATGTCTATTTCTTATTAGGTGATTGTAGGAGTTTTCTTGAATTGCTAGTCAGTGAACAATGAACATGAAATTGCCTTTCCAGATGCTCAGTGTCTCGTGTTTTGTGAATTGCTTAGGTTGCAAAATGAAACAGCAGCCAATGAAGTCCTTGCAAGCATTCAAAACTACTTCAGAGCACAACCTTTTGAATTTAGGGGTGCGCAGATCATAACTGGGCCAGAGGAAGGGGTGTATGGATGGATAACAGCCAACTATTTAATGGGCAATTTCTTAGAGGTGTGTGGAAAAAACCTGCATGCTTTTCTTTTCACTGTTTCTCTCTTATAAATGAGATGTTTGAGAGGACATGCCTGTTAAAACATCATAGCTATAACTTCCATTTTGCACTGAAATGTTTAACAGGGTCTTTTTGTGGCAGTAACAGAACAAAGCAAAATTAAATCAAAGAATATGTTACAGGAATGTGATATGGCAAAGGTAAAATTGTTGACCCACAAAACAGGGCTCTTCCCTAAATGGCATCAGATGCCTTACCTACAAACAGAAGTTGCATTGGTCTTAAATGCATTGGCATGTTAAGTGTGACAGGTGTTGTCTTGACCGTGCTGCCAACTAAAGATGTTTTCTTCTGCTTTTCTGTGACTTCTTCAGGTGGTTGCTGTCCCTGCAGCTCTGCTGGTGAAGGATCTGCACAGCTTAGGGGTCTCCAAATTATTTGACAGTGTTGACTCACTTGTCTTAAGCAGACAAGACTGTTTGAAGAAGTGAAGGTGGTTAAGTTGATGTGGCCAAATGTGCCTCAGCTGAGCCAGAAATCACTCCTATACAGTTCATTCCAATACTGCTGAAAAGCTGCAGGCTGTGAGCAGTGGGCTGTGATGCCAGCTGTCTTGTACAGACAAAGTGATACCAATATGAAGATACTCATGCTGTCCTTGAATTCAGAATAGACTCAGGCAGAAGCCTCATAGCAGAGAAGGAGTCAAATGTGTTGGAAGATCCCTTTTTATATATATAGATATTCAGCATAATATCATTCCCAGTAAAAGTGGTACCAAGATGATCAGCAACTGCTCATCTGCCTTCATGGCAGCTGTGTGCTCCCCTTAGCACTAACTGCACTTCTTCCAGATAGTTTTGCTAGGTTGAAAGAAATTTCAACCAAACCCCTAAGTACCGTTAGCTGTCCTGGTTGAATGGTTCCTGTTAGATCATGGCCATTAGTAAGCAGGAATTAGTTGTGGGTGATCTGAGTGATAGCTCATGGTGAATGTGGTGTTGACTCTTGCAAATTTAAGAAAAATGATGTTGGAATCATACGTTCTGGAAGAGTTTTTTCTCATTGTGTGCATTTCATGCAACAAAAATGACGTCAAGAACTTCAGGGTGGTGTCAGTCTTCTACCACATCAGTTTTAGTAATCCAAACACCCAATTCCATGTGGCAGATTCATAAGGACTACTGAAGGGACTGCAAGATGTTGTGAAGCCAGTTTAGTAGAGAGTTGTGTGAAGGCCTATGTGTGGAATATCACTAGTAGGAGAGAAATTTTCACCATTCTTGTGACAGTGGGCTGAGAGTCAAACTCTGCTAGGGGCTGTTAATGGGAGTCTTTCACTGTAGAATTTTCTTGTGAGTATATTTGCTAGCCTATAAAGTTTCTTTTCCCTTCTTATGCATACATTCATGTCATATTGAGGTAGATAATCATATCTGTATTCTGCACTGTGACTGTGTAGATCAGATACAGAATTTGGGAGATGTTTTGGGTAATAGGGAGAAATGCCAGCTGAATGAACCAGATTTATTGCCACTACAGTTTCAGTGAAGGGAATGGGCAGATTAGGGGTCCTTGTTCTTTTGACTTTGATGGAGCTTTCATTTGACTCTTCTGGGGTTTTCCGCTCCATTTTCACTCTCTTTTTTTTTCTGTGTGATCTCTTAATATTCTGCTCCCTTAATAATTAGTCTTGCCTTGAAACCAGCAAATCTTCATGCTATTTCCATCCAGATTTGTTCAAGATCTCATGGGTATCTGGACTTCAATTCCCTGCATTCTAGTACAGATACTGATCTGGCTAGTCCTGTGCTTTGATCATTGTGCTATCCTCTGAGTTGAAAGCTACACGGCATTCCGTTTTCCATCTTTCAAGATCATTTCACTCTGTGAAAGTAAACCCTTGTTAGCTAAAAAAGATCTGCAGGTTTTCCTCAGAGCTAAGATTTTTTGGGAAGGGAGCAGGACAAAGAGGGAGGGGAAATATCAAAAAGTAAAGAGTAGAAAAGTTTGAAGGGAGAACAAGAAGATGATATTTCTAATTAGCCTCGGTTTTGTTTTTTACATGTAGAGAAACCTTTGGAGGACATGGGTCCATCCTTATGGAAAAGAGACTATGGGTGCACTGGATCTTGGAGGAGCTTCCACTCAAATTTCATTTATCCCAGAGGACTCTCAGGAGAACTTCAATAGCACCTTGCAAGTGAAGTTGTATGGTTACAACTACCATGTCTACACTCACAGCTTCCAGTGCTACGGGAGAGATGAAGCTGAGAAAAGGCTTTTAGCATTGCTGCTCCAGGTCTGTTTAAGATCCTTAGCTGTGTTGGTCTTGCAGGTGTTCAGTAACTGTCTGAGCAGGTGCTTAGGCTTGTGTTCACTTCCCTTTGGTGGAATTTGGAGACCCCAATAAGAGCTCTGTTGTGCACAGTTGTGGACAAACACACTTAGGTTTCATACAAAGATCTTCCTATGTGCTAAACATTGGTGAGAGTTTTGTACCATTTGACAAAAAGGCCCAACTAGTCCTGTAAGTGTTTTGCTGATCTTGCCAATGATTTGTTGAGAAAGGGGTTTCTATGAATTACAGCGATCAGCAATGTGGTACTGATGAGAACAAAAATACATGCATATGTGGTTAATGTCAAATCAGGTATTTCTTGCTTTCGAGTAGCCTTTATTGGTTGGGTTTTCTTGGTTTTGTTTTTGTTTTTCTCCCACCAGAAATCAAACACCAGTTCCAATGTGAATAATCCATGCTACCCTCAGAATTATAATACCGCATTCATGATGAAGTACTTCTCTGGCAGCCTTTGTACACAGTCTCTGAGGCCAGCAAATTACTACCCAAACCAGATTGTGAACTTCCATGGAACAGGAGACCCAGGTCTGTGCCAGGAGATGGTTTCTTTATTGTTTAACCTCACTGCTTGCAGCAACAGAGAAGACTGTCCATTTAATGGAATATATCAGCCAAAAGTTAAAGGGAGTTTTGTGGTAGGTTTGCGAACACAGCATTTCTTTTTAAGCTTGCCTGCTTTTTCTTACTGTAGTTCTGAAAGTAACAGGCTTGTCATCTACTCCTTTTCTATAGGCTTTCTCAGGATTCTACTATACAATTAATGCTTTGAATTTGTCTGGGCACTTTTCCCTAGCTGACTTCAATTCAAGTATGTGGTTTTTCTGTTCACAGAGCTGGGCACAGGTAAGTGGATTGTTTTGGGTTTGGTTTTTTTTTTTCTTTTTCTTTTGTATCTGTAAAAGGGAGATGTAAAAAGAATATGGACTGGACAAGTATTCAGAACTTACCAGAAGGTCTGCATCAACCTCAACACTTGTTTTCCCACCATGCTTCAAACCATGTAGTATTTCTAGCACGCTTAAAACTTGGACTAGGTTTCAAAATTTCATTTCACAGTTTTAACCATGCTGTAAAGATGACATGGAAAGTTTAGGAACCATAACATCCTCAATCTTTCATGTGCAGTTTTTTGTTTATTTTCATTTTTTTACCACATAAGCCACATCACTGTCAGGGTCTTTCTTTTTCTAAATCTCCATGTCTAGTTGTCCACAACTTTATGTGGTGTTTCTGAAGAATGCTAACAAATTCTAATTAGAATCCAAAGTATTGTCTAGTTATAAAAACCAAAAAGTATTTGTTTTTCATAACTTACATGTTTTTAAAAAACCTTTTGCTTTCAGCTCCAGTTTATGCTGCCTAAATTTGAAGAAATATATGCTAGATCCTACTGTTTTTCAGCCAATTTCATTTATTACTTGCTTGTGCATGGTTACAACTTTGATGCAGAAACTTGGCCACAGATACATTTTCAAAAGGAGGTGAGTAATAATCATTTCCTCTTGCTGTTATTTTAGTCCAAAGAAGTTCAGGAGACAGAAGATGCAGCAGCCTACAAAATATAATGGTCATAAACAGCCTTTCTAAATAATTGTTAAATGTTTGGCATAAGACAAAGCCACTTTTCAAGCCTCAGTAGCAACTTCATCCTTTTCCAGGAGCTGCTGCATTACTTGGAGATGCTGCTAGTTTGTTTTAAAGAGCTCTAAAAAAAGGATCAAATCATTGTGTTTTAAACCTTGACCCAGTTTGTTGAAGTAGTGGCTTGCTGTAGGCAGTGATCTTGCCAGTCAAGGTCACTTTGAGCTAACCCTGCTGAGCTGGACAGAACTCCTGCTTTTCTGTCTGCTGGCAGAGCCTTTGGGGGAACCGGCAGACCTCGTTTGTAGTCAGAGTGGTGGTGAAGCAACTAGGGCAGTTTTCATCCTCAGCTGGCACATCCATCTGTGCCGTAATCTGGTTCTCTGGAATAAGAATGTACATTGATGGGTATTGGCTTTCAGTTGGCAGAGAGAGATGGCTTACATACAACATTTGTGTAATAGCTGCATTTCTCTCTTCCCTGACCTCAATTTTTCTCCTAAAACACAGAGTACTTGGAATGAAATTACATATATCCATTCTAAAGCTACTGCTAAGAAATCTTTGCTTCCAAATCAGAAGGCATGGCCACTATTTAAGCTTGGCTGTTACATCCAGAAGTGTGGTCCCCACGGTGCTCTGAGACTCCATCCTTTCCTCTCTGCTGCTGTACAAAACCTTATTCTAAATCCTTGTCCCAGACTGTCTCTTCATCTCTGTACAGTTTGGAAATGCTTCAACACGTGCATGCAAAACCAACAAAAGAATAGGTTGTAGATCTCCACAGAGTATTCTTAAATGCAGGGTGTGCTGGCAAGCTGTGAATGAGAAATCGTAAGCAATGTTTTCTGAACAGTCATATCTATTAGTGGTGCACTGAGGAATCAAGTGGGATTTTCTTACCTTATTTTGTCCTCTGGTGGACAACCATTAGCAGCTCTGGAGGAGTGTCCAGAGTTTAGCCCTTCTACCAGAAAACAGGTATAGAGCTTACTTTGGGACCTTAACCTGGACCTGGTTGGGGCGTGGATTTGTCTCAATATTTAAATATATCTTGTATTGCCCGCAGCAGACAGGAGCAGCCAAACACGGCAACATTTTTCTGTATTTAGCCAAGACTATAAAAATATTGAGCAAAATAAGAACCCAAAAGGCTTGTTTGAAATTAACACCTTTGTTACCTAGATTTTGCACTAGGGTAAATCGTGAAACTCCAAAAGGAAAAACTACATTCTTTTAATTAGATCTGCTCTACTAAAATAATCAGACCTAATGTTAACTGATCAGCCAAGCTAGCCCAGAGACAACAGCACGGTTTCTCCAAGAGTGGAGGGTGGGGTTTTTTGCCTATGCTAGTAGTATATTTCCTTTTAATTAGTGAACAAACACAACCAATGAAAAGAACCTTATCCCAGTGTGAAGATCTGGGCAAGATCTAGAGCTAGATGATTCATGAAAGTTCTAAATCTCATAACGAGAGGTTTTTCCCCTTCTCTCAGCAATGAAATGCCCCCTTCCCCCTTGTTTTTTCTTTTGTGGTTTGATTTGTAGAAGGCAGTGATGTACACTTACACATTTTATATAAATAGTCAAACCATTATTGGAGCCTGGGCATGTGGGAGGAGGACAAGGGACACTATCTTCACCATCTGATCCTGTGCTTATGTGGCAGGACGATGATTTAATTAAAAAGACAGTGGAAAATTGATAAAATGTGTTGGTCAAATTAGAATTGGGGAAAGACAGCAAAGCAGGAGGACCATGGAGCAAATACAAATGTTCCCTCTTCGCTTTTGTTTCACCTGTTCCTAAGTAATTTTCCACTTAGGTTTATTTTTTAAATGAAAGAGCCTAGTGCTGGTTCCTTTGCAGGCACAAAACCAACCACGGAACAAAAGACGATAGAGTCCCTGCTTTGGGGTCTTTACCATGGCCTCCTTTTTGTCCATACTGGTGGGACACTTTGTGGGGTTTTTTCTTTGCTTGAACTAAATAACATCCTAGGATTTGGCTAAGATGAGGGTCTAATTCTAGGAACTGGCACAGTAGTGCTGATTTTTTTTTTTTTTTTAAAGTGTGTTTCTTGCACAGAAAATCCCATAGCTGGCTGTCTGCGTATATACCACGAATCCTTCTGCCCATCCATCTAATACCTGTGTCTCACTTCTTTAGCCCAGTGACCAATTTCTTTAGCATCCTCTGGAGCTACAAAAAAAGGGCAATTTAAAATGGTTCTGTGTCGTCTTTGTATACTCCATTATAACTTTCTCCTTGCTAACTTAAAGGGCAGTTGTCAGCATCAGCAGTTGAGCTTTTGGAACCTCTTTGATGGGAATAGGACTCTTCTGTCTTTATTTCAGGCTGGTAACAGCAGCATAGCGTGGTCACTCGGTTACATGTTAAGCCTCACGAACATGATTCCAGCAGAAGGCAAGCTGATCCGATTACCTCTGAGACCTTCTTTGTTTGCTGGGCTCCTCGTCTTCCTCACGGCTACGGCATTGTTGTGTCTTCTCTTCCTTGTTTACTTGTGTGTTGTATCACGTAATCGGAAGAACATCAGTCGTGTTGAACATGTATTTATTCCAGAATGAACGAACTTTACTGAAGACAAACCACAAATTTTATAGTGCTATTAAGTTAAGTAGGACTTGATTTTTGAAAAATGGAGCATGAAATAAAGACAGGCAAAAAGACTTCAGCACCAGAAGCATAAATAGAGAAGAGGCACAAAGGACTGTGATATGGTGAATTGGAGTGCTTTTGAAATATTTTGGCAATTGTTCATGTAAAACCAGTTTGTCCAGTGTGCAGCAGAGAAAACGTGGGCAGATATGTCGCTTTGCAGCCTTTTTCTGCCAGGTACGTATTATTTTTTTGTTCATTTACTCTGCACTAACTGGTAAACTCAAGTGGTGATGGATCTGATCGTTGCGGCGGTTGTTTAAGATAAAATTAAACAAGAAGTCAGTAGGAATTGTGGGAGGCAGGAACACGGTAGCTGTTCTTGTGTGCAGAGTTGACACTAAAAGCCCCCAAATAATCTCATTTTCTGAAACTGGAACAAGCACTGGGTGATGACAGGAACTGAAAGGAACATCTGGGATAAATTGTTTTTGTTGCTGTTCCAAACCGATTGATTCCGCACCACATAAAGGTGTAATAAACTGTCAGCACCTCTCAGGACTTTCATGCCTGTCTTAAAACTGAGCTGTATCTTTTGGTACTGTGGAGATCTTGGAACACCTCTGCTATGGTACAAAAGATTTGCTTTGAAGGTGGAAAAAAATGCTTTCACACTTCAGTATCTGAACCGAAATTTAAATGCCTCATAGTTACCTCCAACAGCCGCTGAAGTTTTCAGTGTCCTTTTCTCTACCTTTCACAGAAATACTTTTTGTAGGTTCTCATTCTGAAACACGGGTCTGTGTTCCCCACGTCTTGTTTAATGCAGACAGTCGCAGGCAGTACTGACTTGTCACTGCATGTTATTTCAACTGTCTGGACAGAGTCTCAGACCTGGGACCTTTGTAACATTAACATGCTCAGCCCTTCGTTCAAGGCCAAGAGGAACAGGAGCCAGTCTGCAGGCGAGCAGATCTCCCTTTCTGTAGGGGGTTCGGGACCGCATTGCTGTAGTGCCTTGAACAGCCTTTCCACTGTTGTGGCCTCTGTTCCTTCCGCAGCACTGGGATCTACCCAGCAGATGCTTCTGCCAAACGCATTGTTAACTCGAGCTTTCCTGGAAGTGCTGCTGCCGTCATGCTCCAGAGAGCTGACTTCCTTGAAAGCCCGGGCATTTGCCACCAAACTTCTCATTCCCTTAAATCCTAAGACTGTAATTTTACCTACTGCTCAAGGAGTTCTTCATGGTCAGTGCCCCTTTTACCTGCCTGTCTTTTGTATAGCTTTGGTCTTCTTCAGCTGGCTTATGAAATAACCCTTGAAAGTCTCCTGCCACATCATCTGCCATCTCTTCCCTTTGTACACTGTTTCTGTTAATTCCTCTTAATGTTGCTGTAACGTGATCCGTGAAGCTGCAAGGGGAATACACCTGACAGGATTGTTACATGCTTCAGGACCTGCAAGAGAAGAAAAGAGCATCTCTGCTTCACTCCCCTCCTCCCCTTCTACCATCTCCTTTCGCCCGGATTTTCCAGCTACGTATTTCCCCAAACATCCTACAACTAGCTGCTGCCGATCACTGTAATACATTCTTCCCTCTCTGTCTTCTCAGGATTGCTCTGCATGTAGTTGCCCTTGCTTGCATCTTCCTTCTCTGAAGGGATGGTTACTCATTTCATGCACGGAGCTTTTCAGCGTGAGGAAGTAAAAACTAAAAGGGAGATTACCTATTCAGCAGCTGTTGCTAACAACTGAAGCCTGTGAGGCTGCCCGAGTGGTGGTTTCCACACAATTGTGTGGCATGTAAGAGATCTGCTTGTTGATGCACACGCTCACAAGTCAGGTTAACACTGGAGTGTGAATTCCAGTGGCACAGAATGTGTTTTCTATCCCAGCTTCATCTGTTCCCTGTACTGACTAGGTGGTGAGACAGGAGAACAGTGGCCAGTGTTTTTACCCATGAACAGTATTTTCAATTTCTGTGCTTTGTTTCTGTATCACCTTCTTACTTTCAGGTTTGGTTATGGGGTTGGGGTTTTGTTTTCTTCTGTTTTTCACATGCTCATAGATGATTTGAAAGGAACCAAGTGTCCTTTTAAATGGGGAAAAAAAAGGAGAAGAAAAAAAAAAAGTGATTTTTTCAAGAGTATCAGCAGTGAGGGCTTTGTTCCTTCTCTGCTGGTATACTGCTATGTCCTGTCAGTCCTACTGGAGTAGGAGTACTTAAAATAAGGCAGCAGATATTACAAGATGATGGAGTGTTCTGTGGTACCCAAGTTACGTCTGATAAAACATAACATTACTTCAGAATGCACAGGCATTACAGAGGATGGCATGAGATAAACACCTTAACTTATTCTGTGTGACTGATCTGGAACTGCAGTTAAAGGTAAAAAAGGACAGTTGGATGACACCATTAAAATGTTTTCTTCAGCTGTTGAATTTCTGCTGAAAATTGTATTCCGGGATATTTACTTGCCATACAAAACCTTTGTTTTGCTTTGCTTGTGAATGGCAGGGCCATTCAGATGTGGGTTTTGCACAAATGGAACGCGCTCGGAAGTTAGTCGCCTCAGAGTTGGCAGCTAAAGAACAAGTGAATTTGTTAAAAAAATCATTTGGACTCCCAGATGTACTTGGGTAGAGCCAGTGTCTGATCAAAGAATGCCTTCCCTCCATGAATCCCCTTCTGTTTTCCTTTTTCAGTAGTTTCAGTAGTTCCTTCTTCCCCCTATTGGCTTACTTTCCCTCCTGTATCACCAGGGTACCCAGCTGCTCCCTCTTCCCTCTCCTGTTGGTTTCAGCTGGGAAGGCAGGAACTAGGGAACTTCCAGCCAGGCCCCACCATAGCTTCCAGCTTCTTCCAAGCCAGCACCATGGCTGCAGTTCAGTGCCACAGCAAAAAACCACGGCTCGGACACGCAGCCACCTTGGCTGCCCTTGGCTGTGGTGGTTGCTTCTGGAGGGGAGGGGCGGCAATGGGGAGGGTAGCGGCTTCGGTACCCATGGCTAAATCCTCCCCCAGGTGTAAGTCAGAACCAGATCAACAGGTGTAACGCTGTCCTGTCATCCGGGACTGAACAGGTCTCTGGCAGGGCCAGTGAAGCTAACAGCATTTGGGAATGTGTACAGTTACAGGTTATTATCTTTTTATACTCTTTACTGCCTGCTTATGAAGATTAATAAAATTGTGAAAAGCTAAGCCAAGTCTGTTTTTTTTTTTTTAATTGGTTTTTTTTCCCAATACCAATATTTTCATCTTGGTAGGCAAGTCATTTTTCTTAGAGGGATAGGAAATCTCTGAAGTGCTTTCCTGGGGGATGGAAATTTGCAGGCTGTGAAACTGATCCTGCGAGCTTCTGGAGTGGACAGTGCTTATCGTCTCCAGAATCCATATTCTCGGTAGGGAAACCCTGGTGGTTAAAACCAAGCCACCCCTCTTACACAACACACCTAAACATGTACAATCAACTGCTTTTAAACACTGCTAACATTTTACTTGGGGACACTGACGCCTTCTAGGGCTTCTTTCAGGTTCACCGCCATAATGGCAGTCTGAAAGCTCATGTGCCCGAGAGAAGCTGCAATTCCCAGTGACCGCAGAGTCCATCGAGATGCAGACTGGTTAGGAAAAGAACTGTTGGGCATTGGGAATAGGGACAGGATTATGTAACATGAAAAACCTCACCTAGGGAGAAGCAGGAAGAAATTAATCCACCAGAAAAGAGACAAGATATGAAATGCGTATGGATGTTTCTGAAAGGGGGGTAAAAGTGACAGGCTGCTAAAGTGATCTGGAAACTGGGCAAAAGACAACCGTAACTTGTACTGCACAGCGTAATTCAGCATTGGGAAGATCAGGTTAGAGGACAGAAAAATAATGCTGAGTATAACAATTTAGAGTTTTTATTCCATTTTTAAGTTCAATTATTTCAGGAACAATGTATGTTCACTTGGATGGCAATGGAGACGGTGTATCACAGAGTCTGCTCACTTGTGCTTAATACGGGAGTGTTTCTCTGTGCAGCGAGAGGGAGGCAGTATCTAGCCACTTGCTCAGCAATGTCTGTGTGGGCCGTGTATGGTTCTAAGGTTTAAGTCCTGAATTGTTGGCAGCATTGGATGCTAAGGCACAGCCCAGGTTTGGTGTTTTTTATGATGCCTCTTCTGGTTGTTTATGATATTAACATGCAGAAATGCATGCACACAGGAGAGTTATGTAGAACAGATGCAACCCTGCCACACTCCGAGTCATCAACGCAGTTGCTAGTGACGTTTGAGTATTTCTGCCATAAAACATGCAAAGGTCATTAAAAAGGCCAAAATTTTAGGTAGCCTCCCTTCCTTCCTCTTAAGTAGTACTGCAGAGTAATATTAGATCAAATGTTTTTCCAAATCACTGCAAAACAGAAGAATCCCAAAGCCATCTTCTACTGACTTCACCTAGAACTCATAGTTTAAAAATAACTGGTTTCATACATGTATCGATGGATTACTGCTCTAAAGGGTGGTAAAACAACGTTGCTGTAATGGTGTTCTGGTTGGGACTTTCAAAAATACCTGATGAGTTAAGTGCTCATTAACATTTTAATGATCTGTTCCCTGGGCACTTGCATAAAGTATCTACACCAGTTAAAATTGCTTAAGTGCATGTTTTACTTGCTCTTTTATTATAAAAACAAAACAAACACTAACCACTACGCTTTAGACAGCTGACTTAGGGTGTTCCATGCCGCTGTTGCCAGAAGAGAGGTCAGACCTACGTTCCGGCAGTGCTCTGCAGTGCGTTTTGCTTATGCTTTGCTACTCTCAAAGCTCTTCTGATAGCAAATGTTTTGGCTGACGTTCACGAGTGAAAATACTGCTGAACGTGATGCACAGGCCTGTCAGTATCTTGATGCATGTCCATCAAAGCCAGCCCAGCGAGATGACACTCACCGTGGCACTTTTCTGCCAGGCCCCAATGGTCTGCAGGGCCCCCAGCTGCTTGCCCTCCCTCGGCAGCCGTGCTGCTGGGCAGGGCGAGGGCTACCACGCCAGGCTGGGCTCCTGCAGCCAGGACGGTGCTCTTTGGCCAGTCGTCCCATGGAATCTCCCTCCGCTGGGCACACTGTCTCTGCAGCTCTGCTCAAGGCTGCAAAGGTCTGCCCTGCACGTGCTGCACCGTGCCTTTGCTCTCTAGGAAACGCCACTCACGCAGCAGCGGGTACCAAGCAATGC